GCGCTATAACAAACGCTATAATTCACAACGAACGTCTCACATGCTCGACTCAACAATAATCTCTCTCTCTCTGTCTGCAGTTCAATTACCCATTGTTAACGTCACGTCTTGACCGTCTTATATGTACAAGAATACCGAAATCTAGTAAACTCCCGAGACTTCATGAACGTTCTAGAAGCGCATGACGTGTTACTAGCGTCACGTGACCTCCGCTGTCGTAACAGTATGTTAATACTAAACTATAAAACAAACAAACTATGAAATCTTGGCTTTTACTAGGATTTGATTCAATGTTATTCAAACATAACTGTTTAACAATCTATATTTTCTTGTATGAAATGAAAATAATTTTTATGAACAAAAAGTTGGCTCATTAAAAAATGAATAAGCTAACACATTTTCAGCATGCACACAGAATATATCATATATATCATTAACATACATTAAATTATCTAGCTGCTGGAACTTAATTGTAAAAGTTGTCGACAAAACATATCATAAACATATAAGTTAAAGCCCTTATCGGCATTATCAACTATTGAGGGTCGTCTCCTGTTAGTTATTGAAATACAATAACTACTGGTAAATGTAAGAGTTTCATATATATTTAGACGCATAATTTTTAACTCGTCTTTCAGAAAGTTATTGGCTAAATATAAGAGAAACTGTTCTATGAATCCTTTCAAGATTATATTTACCGAAACTACCATGAGTTTTAATGTCCGAGAGGAAATTCTCTTTATTCGTTTATTAATTAATGTTTTTTTTTTTTTTTCATAGATAACAACTAAAGAAAAAATACCAGGTGGTTTTCAGATATCTGACCATCCAATAAATATTAGATTCAAACAACACCAAAAACAGAACGTTTAGACAAGTAAATATACTGTCATACTGTTCAATGTTAGGAATGAATCATGTTCCAAAAAAAAAAAAATAACTGCGCGAACTCTCCATATTTGTTTCACTCTCCAGCTGCTTAAGGTATGTGAAGATTGAATGGGAAGTATTTGCTGGAAGCCTTATCTTGGTGACTTAATACCATATTAGCCTCGTTTCCAGACATAGATCCTTTTTGATTATGTTGTGTACCGTTGCTTGGGGTATGTAGACAGCTCTTGACACTGAATTTTGTGTTTGTGGACTTTCACCTGTTACAAGACATCATACTTTGTGTACCATGGTTAGAGTAAAACTTGTTGCAGGTCTATTTATAAAGAGTCCTGCAGCTCTAAGTTGACCCATGATCATTTGTTTATAATGCCATTACGTCCAATGATATCCTTGTCTTGGAAATTCAAAATCGGCAATAAAAACATATCCTTATATTTGAGTGTGTGAACATTTTACACCAGAAAGGGCTATTACATACGTTCCTAAAAATGACTAATTTTCGGTGGCATACTAAGGCTAAAATTTTCAAAATGTACTTTATATTTACTGTGCATTTCATGTGAATTGCTGATTTGCTTAATTAAAATCGTTTTAACATAATGTAATCAATCCTCTGTAGGTTGTAAAACTATGTACTAAAGGTGGCATAATTTTACCCAAATAGCTTCAGATTAATTTGATGGACAGTTTCATATGAAAATATAGGTCTCTGGGATTTTCAGGCTTGCGTATCTTACAAAGGATGTAAAATAAAGATGTTCCTGATTCTTCAGTGATTTGGTCTGGTGCTTTTATTCGGATTTTTTTAGCATGTCTGCGGTTTCCTTTCTGGTAGTTTGGTATTTCTGGAGATGGTCGGTTTGAAGTATAACATAGGATTCATCATTAGAGAGTTGTTCTGCTTCTGTTATATCTAAACACTTGCGCCATACGACTACAGAACTACCTTTATTTGTGGGTGTGATGACAACATCATGTTGATTTTAAAGTTATGCCAATGTTGTTGTTTTTTACTCTTCTGTGGTTAGGCTGCGGTTACACGTACATTGAGAAAAATATACTTCGTTAACTTTCTCTCAATATTTTCGATGAAATGCTCTAAATCTGAAATTTTCATTCGTTAGGTATTCAAACGTTATCATATAATTTAAATAGAGTGAGAAGATCAGGTTTGAGGAGGGAAGGATATCAACGTCGTCATTGTCAGATTTTTCAGGGTATTTTGAACGGATATCTTGTTGCTGAAGTGGGCTCATTAAGCATAAGTGGCAGAAAATTTGTGTAATGCCTCTTTTAGTGTAGGAACACTAATCTAAGAAAATACTTTTCGTTTATTTCACTGATTTTCATGTGTATTGCATTGAGTGTTCCGTTTATTCGTCAGCCATCTCGTATAAACCCTTCGTTTATAATTTGATCACATAAGCAAATACTTCAAAAAGTATTTGACTATAGCATTTTGTTTTCAATAAAGTAGTACTAGTATGAAAAAAACAATTTCAAAAGTCGAGCCACAACGTTTATAGAAAGGAAATTATGCTTCGACGTAAGCTATTTTATTGGTGTCTGTCATGTTAGCCTATTTTTAATATCGAGCAGATAAGTTAGATAGTTCACTTAACGAAAGTTAAGTGTTAAGAAAGAGATTGACGTCTTGGAGGATAGCTAAATGGAACAATAGTGTTGGGCCCTAACTTCACTGTCTTAAAAAAAATTATTAAATTTTACAAGCGATCACTGACTCAATAGCAGAAAATATGACTATTTTGGTAGGTAGATGAGATATCCCATCAGATTCGGAAATCCGGAAGCCTAAAAATGAGGTACATGGCTGTGAAGGGCATGACCCAGGGATCATTTTGCAGTGCCTGTTGTGGACCACCATCACGCTATGATTATGTTATTTCGTCATTATTTTAGTACTCCTCTCTCTCTTATCCTCTTGCACTTGATACAGAAAAGGTCTTCATATTTTCTGTTCCTTATCCGATTTTAAATCGTTCTCCTCCTTCTGCTCTCATCCCCATTTTAGGGCAGGTATTTGGATACATCAGTAAGTTTACCGCTCCTATACGCTGACGTACTTCTATTTGAGGTCTTGAATGCACCTCCTTCCCCGAAGCTTCTCTGATCTCTCTTATGGCTAACGTTCTGCCATCGTGGTCACATCCATACTTGCTATACTTGTTACACCTCAGAAATTTTGCTACTTTACATTTATAGGTTAGCTTTTAATCCGACATCGTTCCCATCTTGACAAGAATAAAAATTCGGATATTCTGGCTCGTTGTCTCAGCACTTCCTCACAGGTTTCACAAAACGTTTCACATTATTGTTATACCTTATCTATGGAACACGTACCATTACAATTATTTGAATTAGGTAAAAATCACCTAACTCTACTGACGAAAATCAACCATAACTTCTTTGAATTTTGTCCAATTATAGACCGGCTTACATCTCTGGATTCCTCACAAAACAATGCATATTCCTGTTGTTCTAAAGGAAAACGAATAAATGTCGGACATGGTTCCTACAAAGTGCCATGTCATTTTTGCTGCAGTTGAAACATAAGAAATATATGATTTTACTTGGTTAAGCTTTTATAGCTTTTGTTGTTAATGACTGTAGTTAAAAATATAAATATTCATAATTTCTTATAAATACTATAAATATTCTAATTAATTTAGAGTCACTTTTATAATACAGTTGTTCACTTGATCCAATTTGTTTGGTTTGTGCAATTATATACACTAAGTTATTGATGCTAAGCTGTGCTTTCGTTTGTTTGCCCACTTGTTATAGTGTCAAGCAATGATTAGCAATTTTGATCCCACGTCTTTATATTATAAGCGCAATCCCCTGTTATTTGCAATGATTGTTTGTTTGTTTTTTGAATTTCGCGCAAAGCTACACGAGGGCTATCTGCGCTAGCCGTCCCTAATTTAGCAGTGTAAGACTAGAGGGAAGGCAGCTAGTCATCACCACCCACCGCCAACTCTTGGGCTACTCTTTTACCAACGAATAGTGGGATAGACCGTAACATTATAACGCCCCACGGCTGAAAGGGCGAGCATGTTTGGTGTGACGGGGATTCGAACCTGGGACCCTCAGATTGCGAGTCGAGTGCCTTAACCACCTGGCCATGCCGGGCCGTATTTGCAATGAAAACTTGGTGTCAAAACATGATACATAATAATAGTAATAAATAATTAGATAAAGTAAAAATAAGTGAATTAATAAATAAATAAATAGCAGTGGGTTTCTGTTGACTGGATGCTTATCTTTGATCGATGTTCGAACTTAGGGTTGGCGCTACTCTACCTGGTGTCTATATTGACAAACGTGCTCCAACATGACTCCATAAATTAAGGAAGGACAGCTTGAGCTTTGTTTGACGGTAAAGATTTTCTAGCAAGTAACAATAACCAGCATAAAAATGACAAATCGTGGAATTAACATCAGGAGTGTTGTAAACAGGCATTTTGAAATCATCAGATATCTGTAGTCATTAAAGTACTTATGGTTTTGGAAATAATTGAATTAATGCATTAATACGCACAGTGCTGTTTGATATGAAAACCTAATTTTATTTTTCATGTTTTCAGTGACAATCAATGGTGAACTTCCGTTTAAAGGATTTTTTCTGCAGGCCAGAAAGGAAGATTCTCAGAAGATCTTAACGGGAGAGTTCTTGACGTCATCAAATGCTGTTCAAACCTTGAATTGTCAGCGTGGGTTAAATGTAAGTGTAATTTAAGAGTTAAATATTATTTGGTAGTTAGGGTAATTATTGATTACAGAGTGTGATTCATCCGAATTATTGCGATTGTAAGTTTCCAATGAAACTGAACGATCAACAAAATTAAGTAATTCTATTTTTGACGCTTCAGTATTGATTTACAGTATAACTTATTCATGAGTATAAATTTCAACTAGGTTAGATAATCTTGATGTGTTAAACCTGTGGTCGGCAACCTATGACCCGCGGATCACTAAGTGACCCGTGGCAATAATTTGGCTGACCCGCCAAAAGTTGGCTTCACCATTACAGCCGTAAGGGCACAATCATTGTTCAGCTCAAATTTCTCGGCTATGTGAGAAGAACAACGATATTAA